TCAAAAACCGAGATCAAACCGTTTACGTCTGGAGTTCCGTTTCTCGCACCGAGTAGCGAATTACTGGAATTCTCTACCGGAACACGTAATATCAGCACCGTCTGTTAATATATTCAAAACGAGGTTGGACCTCCACAGTATTACAAACTGCAAGGATTAATATAGGTCGATAGACCTATCCTTATTACTGAAGACTAATGACCATTGCATTACATGGGGTGTGACGATTTACGGTCATTAATTAAGTTTTCATTGGGTACTTATAAGTGGTTCTAATCAAACCCATGTAATTGTATGGTAGTAAATTAAAGGGTATTTCACACATAGATAACGTTCTCGAAAATATGCTTTAATAATTAGTGTGGATACAGGTACAATACTGGTAATTCAACGACCAGTTTTCCACTTCTACATTTGTCTCACGCTCAACGCCATTGCGTAAATGTAAGCTCATCATGTTCCAACAAATTAGTTATACCAAATATCATTATTCTAAAACTTCATTGATGATATTAGTTTGGTAACTTGCATCCTTTAAGTGATTCTGCAATGATCCAGACACATAAATTGTCACTTGAAGAAAGTCTTGGTTGTCTAATTAAGATCATTCCATGATGTTAGTTACAACAATCATCAAGCTTTCGACGATTTCCTTTCCCGATAGCATAAACTCAGAGGTTTATCAAACGCCAATCGAAAACTACATTTGATTTCAGTTTGACAATCACATCGAAACAAGCTACACAATACCGAACCTCTACATTACTAACATGGCATGTGTTCGGTTACAGCAATGATAGTGTAACTACCTTGAAACATCGACTTCGGTGGCTTGGACATGTCCTACGAATGTCGTGTCAGAGAATTCCACGTCGCGCATTGTTTGCCGATGCTGGGACCAGCTGGAAAACCGGAGAGGTGGTTAGGTTGTGTCATTGTATCATGGTATGAAAGATGTACAGAACTGGTTTCTGTTGGTCCTTCACTATTCCCTGGTTGAGGTCCTAGAGATGGTGCAACACAGTGGCTTGAGACGTAATCAGACATGGTTCAGAATAGAAGCTAGTGCCGGTCTTGCTGTAACTTTTTACTTTTACCTCATAAACAATAACGTAACTTTAACTGAAAGGATTCCTTCTGATTGTGTTTTGTCAATTAAATTGCCTCTACCATTATTATTTCACTTTCACACTAATTTCTGTTCGTCGTTCTCCTTTTTCTTATACGCACTTTACATTCTCTAACTCTTCATAACATTGTTATTGTCTGGCGCATATGCATTTGGTGCCCCACTTGTACCGATATTTGCGTGTTCAAATAAATGGTCAATGGAAAAAGATGGTTATGCGCCCTCACTGCCTGTTTTGTTTATGTACAGAGCCTTCAAAATGTTTGTGAAATTCACAGACACCCTCTCTCAGCAAACGAAAAATGGCCCTGTTATTAAGAAACAGCAATTGTTAACCTGCTGAAAGTATGTTAGTACCGTAGCATTCGGCACAGTGTAAACATATGATCAACAAATCCACGACCAGAACAAAAGCCAATCTATTTCTTGTGAAATAGTCTTTTATTGGCTTTGATCAGTCTGTAAATTATAGTAGTTTATACCCAGTCGAAAGCAAACTTATTCCCTTATATTTGTTCCTAGATGATGCAAGCCTTAAAGAGCAGGAGGTAAGTTGTCCATGTTTATGCTGCTTCAAGAGTGAGTTCCTTCTGGACTCTTCCCGTTAGGTTTTATAGTTATCACTGAATATGGACAACAGGATAATCTAATTGATGTTGCTGAGACAGCAGACCAGCTGAACGTTTCTCAAAACACTGATCGTTGAAGACGTCACTAGGTGTTACTAATTAGCGTTTTATCACCCTCACAGATTGTCCCCCAAATGCTCTCACATGACCACGTGCATACAACCACTGCCACGAAAGTCCTACTCACTACCTTCTGGCATTACTGTTGGTTACGAAATTGAGAGGACGAAAAGCAAATGTCCGGCACTTTAATTGGGTCGGTGGATATGAAGGACCCACCTAGGGGAGTTAGGAAACCCTGATTCCAAACCAGTGGTGCACATGAGCTTCAGGATCCCGAATGAATAAATAGCGTATGAACCAATTGTCGATCACGTGCTACCGTGGTACTGCATCTCCTCACGTTTCTCCACTGCCTTGTGGGTCAGGCCTTTAATGAAAAGGCTCCGGGTGTGCCTCCCTAAGAGAAGCGCCTGCTTAGGTTTGGGTAACGGGCTAGTATACCTGCCCTCACATAAATCGAATGATTTATGCGGCGTATATCTATTTGGTGCCTTATACCAATGTTTGTTCAAATAAATAAATAAACCACTTACACATTTTTTTTAGTACCATTGGTTCAAATGAGTTAAAACATTTTCCGGAAGTTACAGTATGCATCGGTCGTTTTCGACTCGTCAGTCAGTCAGTCAGCTACAACGTAGGACCAGGCACATATGTGCATCGGTCCAGGTTAGCATACCGCATCAGCACAACGAGATGAACACCGGATTCATAGCAGTGGTTAGGTCAAAGGTGGTAATATATAAGAGAAAGATTGCATATAGAGATATAGTACAAGAAGAAAGAATTGGTTCGTAGAAAGAAAGATATGAAGTGATTTTAATCTCTTAGTTTAAGGGAAGACAAAGAGTGTATACACCGACGCCATTGTGATCGATTCTGAGCCATGTCACCAAGAGTCTCCAACCATTGGTTACGAAAGTCACGCGGCCACCCCTAACTTTCTTCCAACCATCTCCAATACCGGGTAGCATTGCACGTCGTGGTAGTCGGTGTTCAGGCATACGTAACACGTGGCCCAACCATCTCATTCGGTGAAGATTCATAACCTCATCAACTGATTTACCATCATTCCCTAATACCCTGCGTCTAACCTCACTATTACTTACTCGGTGATCCCAGCAGATGCCAGCAATATTTCTAAGGCGTCTGTGGTCAAATACTAATAGCTTACGAGTGTCTTCTACTCTTAATGGTCATGTTTCGCTGCCGTAAATTAAAACAGAACGGACTGCCGCGCAGTATACTCGTTTTTTTATTGATAGACGGATATCTCGCCTTCGCCAAAGGTGACGCAAGTTGGCAAAAGCCAAACGAGCTTTTCGAATCCGTGCTGAGATTTCGTCAGACACCAACCCATTTGGGCTGATCAGACTTCCAAGATAAGTGAAGTTGTCAACGCGTTCGACTACTTCACTCCCTATCCTTAGTTCAGGTGTTAACGCAGACCAGTCCTGAAGCAACAACTTGCATTTCGAGGGAGAGAAGCGCATTCCAAACATTCTGGCATTGTTGCTTAGTGCTACCAAAAGACTGCATTTTGTCAGCGTCTTCACCAAACAGGACTATGTCATCTGCGTATTCTAAGTCGATAAGTGGACCTCCCGAGTGAACCGACGTGTCTCGAAAAGATTTATAAGGCTTGCAGAAGCCTGGTGCTTATAAATAGGACATTTTGCACAACCACAAGTGGCGGGACTCTTTATTTTTCCTGGCGTCAGGAAAAGACACCTAATACTCATCTACACTTCTCGGTAGACTAGCTACTAACCTTAGAGGTAACTCTTTAATATTTGGTTGCAGCAAAAGCTACAGCCAATTTTCTTCTACCAATCCTTTTGGGATTAAACGTTTTCTGACCATTAAAACCTTAGATACGCTTGCCGTAAACTAAACCACTAACAAAGTCCCAATAAATACCCCAAAATAAGAGGTCTTTTACACAACCATTTCAGCAGTAGCTGGTCATGATGCCAATCTGAGTCCATGGTTAAGTTGCAAAGTGAGAATGCCAGTTTGTACATCGACTATAGCTGTCAAAATTGTTGCTGACTAGAAATAGACGATGGTCTGATCTGCTCCTAGCTAACCCCCACTGCCTACACAGACAACTCTTCTATGTGTCTGAGCATCCCACTTATGCACTCAAGTCTTCGTCTGGCGTCACATCCGCCGAACTCACTTTCTGAAGACCACTTGTAGTGAAACTTATCTTTGATTGAATCTAGGCTGCAATATAAGAAAGCTTACTAAAAACGTCTTTCCTCATGCTAGTTCTTTCTCAATTTAAAGGAGCCTTCTATTCTAACAACCTTTATTTGGGATCCAATTGATTAGTGCAGCCTCTACTCCGTTACTTAAAGCAATATCAGCGCCACCTCAAAGAGAAACTGCTAGGGAGACCAAATTTGTTCCATCTGCATCAGTGTTGAACACTGAAAATGGTCATTTTGAATAAAAATATTTGAAAGAATTTGGAATTGTAATCATCCACCGCATCGAAATCGCGTAGATAGGACAGAAGTCTATCCACAGACAAGCGGCTGGGTGAGTTCGAGAATACACAAATTGGGACTAAAGAGTAGTAGATAAGTAACAGAATGTAAAATAACAATGAATGTAACAAAACAATTGTGGATATTATTTGCATGAATAACAAGGCGGAAGAACATTTTGAAAATGATTACACTACCCGAATGTTCGTACAAAAATGGAGGCTTTTTAGATGCCTGCTCCCCTAGCTTTCGACTGAGGTGTAATTCACAAGGCAGTGTATCAACATCAAAAAATACAGTCTCATTGTAGTCGGTGACCAAAATAGATTTATGCATTTATTCCTTCAGAATCGAAGAGCCCATATATTCCAGAGTTCCTCAATCCCCATAGGTAGATCCTCCGTATCTACCAACTCGGTCAGAGCTCCAGAATTTAATTCACTTTCATTCAGACTCTCAAGTAATTTCGCGTGTCATGTATAGCTAAAAACTGAGCATATACGCCTGCACTAATAAATAAGTCATATTTTTTATGAAATACTGTAGTTATACAATACTCAAGACTATCTGTCATATTGAATTAGCCACTATCTTTATGTATAACCATAAGTGGCTCATATTATTTAGCTCTCTATTCTTTTTGTTCACATCCTATGTAAATTCCATTATATTTTAGAATTAATAATGTCTAGTCAACCGATATCCAGACATCGGAAGCAGCACTTTCCTCGTTTAGAACGTCGAAAATTAATTACTCCTCTATCTCAGAATCTCCCTCTCCAAGAATATGATTCAGATGAAGATCCAGTTTATATTTCTAAACATCCACGAAGTTCATTAATATCCACTAGTCATAAACCATTCCGTCCAGTCAAAACAGATTCAAAAGATACCAATGGATCGTCTGGTCGTCCTGACAAACGTGCTAGAGATGAACACAATGAACAAGAACGTAGTCGTCGACGTGAACTCGCTGTTATTTATGAATTGATTCGATGTAGTTTTTCAAATGATGATTTACGATATCTTGGTCATTGTAATGGTCCTAAATCAGTTGATAAACTATCATATCCACAAGTTTTACAAATAGCCTATCAATTATTACGTGAAGAACAGCATAATTTGACTTTATTTGAAAAATCTTTAAATGATCTGAAATTAATTGAAAAAGAATTTGTCCGTGCCGGTCTCCCAGTACCTGAAAGGCCTAAATGTCCTTATATATTAGATACTTATCGAAAAATGGTTCAACTTGTCGATAATTTACTACGTCATGACAAACTGTAAGTAATCTATCTTTTTGTTTGTTTGTTTGTTTTTTTAGTGAGAAAACAAAACAATTTCCTTGTTAGTTCGTTTAATGGTGTCAGTTTTATTTCATTATGCAATTTATGCCTTCATAGTTTATTAAAGACTTGCTGCTTACGACAAAAGTAGGGTTTATTTATCCTTGTTTACTTTATATTTATTAATCTGGAAATAATTACCTTAAATGATTCTACTAATTAGACTTGTCTCAACATCCAAATAATTAACTAAGCAGTCGGTTTATATGTTCTAACTATTTTTTTAACATGTGTTTCTGCATAGATTCCCTCTGATTAGAGATAAAGCTTTGAGATCATTAACCTAATAGATCGTACTAAATTTTAAAAAGAATTAGATAAACCCCAAGCAGTTCAATGGTGTGTTACATGAACTCCTGTTGTAATTTCACTGGATTTCTTTTGATTTGTAATTTATTCATATAGATGTGTCATTCTGTTCCAATATGCTTTTGTTTACAATAAGAGGTTTGTGGAGATTGTTAAGTTTCATGGTTTACATCACGGAATTTTATATATATATATATATATATATGTATATATATATATATATATATATATATATATATATATATATATATATATATATATATATATATTTAAAGACAAACATTGGTACAAGGAGGCAGGAAATGCATATGCGCCACATAAATCATTCGATTTGTGTTACGGCTAGGATACTGTCCGGGAGCCCAAACCGAAGCAGGCAGTTTTCTTAGGGAGCCACACCCTGAGCCTTTGAATTAAAGGTCTGATTCACAAGGCAGTGGAGCAACGTCAGTCCCATGGTGGCCGGTCATCAACAATAGGTTCATGTGCCATTTGTTTTCTTAGGATCCTGGAGCCTATGTACACTGGTTTAGAATCGGGGTTTTCTTAACTCCCCTAGATAGACCCACCGTATCCATCAACCTGGTATAAACGCTGGATATTCGCTTTTCTTCTCAATTTCGTAAACCATAGTAATGCCACGAGAAGGTAGTGAGTAGGACTTCCGTGGTAATGGTTGTATGCACGTGGTCATGTGAGAGCATTCGTAGAGGGAGAGCTGACTCTCCTCACTCTCGGCTGTACCAGGGTATTTGGGGGCACATCACGGAATGATGTTAGTTATATGGCCATTCAAAACTAGGAAGCAACAGACAGCTGTCTGGTTTTAATATGAAGACTCTTCAGCAGTGCTCATCTAATACCTGAAGATTTTGAACTTGGTCTGCGATATAGTCCTGGATAGCAATTTATTTTCGCTAAATCAATCGAACTAATAGTAATATTATGTCAACTATCATATCGAAACTCACATCCAATTGGAATTCCAGTCTTTTGTATTAACAATATTTTGATTATCATCCTATTTCTCAACCGTGCTTAACAATCTAAATTATTAAAATATTAACCTTCCTATTTAAAATATTCTGTCATCATATTGAAACTAATTAGTCTGATCTCGTTGTGTTTGGATTAGTTTCAGTTTACATCACTGAATTGTAATAATAATAACGATAATCTGTAGTAAAGAGAATCACTTCTATTGTTTTTATTGAAATTTGTTTTTCCTATACCCTAAACTACTTATTGTGTATGATTTTGTACTTTATATATGTTATCAAATTGTATTTGAATCTGATAAACTTAACTAATTCTATACTGATTGGTTTAAACAGTAAGTTTTGTGTCATTTAGTTATCATGTTTATTGTTTATGTATAGTTTGTTAATGAGATTCAACGATATTTCTTCATTTTAAAGTGTTCATACAGTATTTGTTATTGTATACTGTTATCCGATTTAATTGTGATTATATTAGTTGTTATTTCAACAGTTGAGATCATGAGTCAATTAAAGCTAGAACACCATTGAAAACCTGGAAGCACTGGATGGCCGTTTCGTCCTATTGTGGGTTTTCCATGATGGTCTAGCTTCAATTGACTCATGATTTCAACTGTTGAAATTACTACAATCTCCACAAAAACCCCTTCTGATTAGTTGTTATGTCTAAAATGTGTTCTCATTCTATTTAATTAACCTTTTTTTCTTTAAAATAAAGTTTATGATTTTCCATTGATTCCGGGTTTTTTATTTTTACAAATTATTTTCAACAGAATATTGTGATTTTTAATTTCTAGTGCTCGATCTGTTGATGGTGTTTATGAGGTGACTCCTGCAGAACGTGCAGCTATTGGTGATCAAGAAATGTCATTTCTTTTACCACGTTCACATCATACATCTACTAGTACTAGTAGTACAACAGATTATTCCGATCGAATCAGAGGACGAAGATCGTTTAACCTTATCAATCGATCAAATTATACTGATAATTATTTAGAACGAGATGATACAAGGAGTTGTTTTTCTAATTGGTCAAATGTTTCTGCAACTCAATCCAAATTCAAACGCTCCTCTTCTTCCGCGTCTCTTGATTATGGCGCAGAGGATGACACTGACTCAAATCTCTTACCACCTACACCTCCATCGATTAATCATCTGTGTAGTACTACTTCTACTTGTAATAATGATAATAATAATAATAGTAGCAACCAATGGTTAGGTAATCCTGAATTCCTGGATATTTTATCCGAACTCAAAGAAGATCCTGATAGCAGGAATGAATTTGAAACACCAACTGAAGAAATTGATGATGATGTAGATGTTGATGGTCTTTTGTTGAATTTCATCTCGGATGAAACACTTAACTAAATTGTCTTTAAATAAACTACACGTGTATATGTATATAGAAAATTATGTGTATTCATATCTTTGCTTTTCATCATGTTGTGCCTTCTTATATTATCTTCCATTCAAAGTACATATATATATATATATTTTTTTTTGCTACCGTTTATTACATTTCATTATTGTTACTATTATTATTATTATTCCCGATTTAGCTTTATTGTTTTGTATTGCTTTTGTTCTATATTCTTTATAACTCAATAGTGTCTATGTATGTACTTCATTATTATCATTAATTTACTTATCATCACTAGTGTTTCATAAGTACATTCAACAAGAACTTTACAACACTGAAATATGCTTCAATTACCATGTTCATGTTGCATTACACACACATTTATATATATAAATCATGTTTTTGACAGACATTGTGGATCAAAGTAATTACCTTGTGTTTTCTTTTCTTTCTTTCTTTTTAAAATCTTACACTTATCGTTGTAGTAGCCTTAGTGTGTGTGTGTGTGAGTGAGTGAGTTTATGCGTACGAAACAATTTCAATTCACGTTATTATCAACGTGATAGTAAGTTATGTTTTCTAAAAAGTAAAAAGAAAACAAATGATCACATGGATAGATAATGAGTAAACAACATAAACGTGTTCATGATTATATTTTAAAGAATTCATTCCTATGTATTTGCATCTTCGAGTATGCCACGGAATTATCTTTGTCTGTAATAGGAGCAGTAAATAACTAAGAATATGATTTATAGGTTGTATACGTCGAAGATCGGTTTTATTTGTGGTGTCATTGAAAATCAAGAAGCGTTATAGTATGGGACCTCTTTGTACCAGGCACCCATTTAGGAAAAGACCAAAATCCTTCAAATCTTGTTGCGAATGCCTTACTATCAGAATCACTGGGTATTAACCAAGCCCTCATATAAATCGAATGATTTATGTGGCGCATATCTATTTGATGCCTCGTTGTACCAATGTTTAAATAACCAAACTGAATCGGAATCCGTTTGGACAATTTTAACGTCAATCAGTCTACGACATATTGCGACGGTCGTCCAGTTCCACAGGTGATAATTGTTTCATTCTTGAAATATCTCAACTCCACCAGTAACAACTTTTCCAACTAAATATTGATAAGATCGACCATGCGTATTCAAACGTACACCTAAGTAAACTTCGTTTAGTAGGGACAATGCATCGGCCGTATCAGCCTCCACTTCACAACGAACCTGGTCTTGACGTATGTGTCTGAATAATTTACTCGCATTGCATCAATTATAACGCTTCGAAAACGGTCCTTTCAAAAAGTTTTCAGTTTTCCAAACTGTTGGTATCCCGCTTAGGCCTTCCACTTACCTGGAGATCGAGTACTCCTAAGGCATATAACTGACACTAATAAACCAAATTACCATTGAAAATATAACAGTTCATGTGTGGTTTAGTTCTTAAACAAGAACAGACTATACTGCTACTAGTGTTTAGATGAGAATCAATGTATTTCTTCGCATAGTTAATAAAGTAAGGTGATATCGTTAGTCGTTCAACCAGAATGTAATCTCACACATTTCTGTAGTATTTCTATGGCTTATTTATGGATACAGAATCACATCACGAAAATACTATATATAACGAGATGTCATTCTTCTATATAAATTAGAATCTAGGCTTATATTCAGGTTACTTGACGTACATTAAGTCAGATGATTAGATGAAAAGTTGAATAATCCAGTCATGTACTTTTATCGGCCTATATATATATATATTATCTGAGAACACATTCCTTTTCAGTCTAACTCAGTAACCAACCTTTATTTGACCCTGTAGATCACCAACGTAGATGATCTTTGTTGAATGATTGGGGGCCTACACGAGTTAGATGAGAATGGTGCGACCAACCAGCTAACGTCGAAGTTACATCTCGCGGTCAGCACCTAAATTAGACTACCTCTTCGTCTTACCAAGGTACTATGGCTGTTTTGAAGATTGTATAACACAAAGGACGTTACTACGGAAATATATTTGTAAGAAAGAGTACAGATAAGATAGTGAGCCCACCACCGCATTGGTCAGTTCATCGTGTACGACCAATCGATACGCGTAGGTTATTGTTGACGTGGATGTGGAATCGATTATCTGTTCCATATTCAGTGACCCAACTGCCGGATGATTTGGCTACGGCTTAGTAACATTTCACTGGTCCTACAATCCGAAAGATAAAATCACCTGGTCATCTCCCATGGACGTTTCCGTTAAAATGAACATCAGTGCTTTTATTATATAAACTGTAATTTACAGCGTCGAGGTTGATCTGTAGTAGAATATTTTCTACATGAATGCTCTTGTATTGGTCAATTAGTTCTAGATGGACAACGTGTCATTCAACTAATAAGTGTTAGATTCACTTGCTATTGTTTACTTGAATCTTCCCATTGATGTTAAGGACTGCAATTGATCAGTCTCTTATTGACATATATGCATAGTGTGCGTATTGCCTAAATTCACAAGCATTCTTAGCAAAGATGGATAGTGGCTAGAAGTGGAATTCAGTTTGACGCACGTTACGTCGTATTTGGAACTCGTCACCTGGATGTACGTGCATCTGAGAGTGGCTAACAGGACTCACTAGTTAAGTGGATAATGCAATGGCGTTTAAAGCAAAAGGTACTGGGTCCGAGTCCCAGAGTGAACATCAACTCTGAGATGCAGGCTCAATCAGCTAATGAGTCTCAAATAGGACGAAACGCGTATCAAACTGAATTCCACTGCCAATCACTATCCATCATTGCTTATCAAGTGTTAGGTTTATGAACTATCAGGTGTCCTGTTAGTCAGTAGAACTCATATATTATCTGTAAGTTATTGATGTATCCTTTTGCGATTAGAGCCTATATCACTTAATCATTGATCTATTCAAATAGTGACTAACCTGCTAGACTGTACATGATTGATTAGTGAATAGTAATCAAGTTACCTATCCCTTAGTTTTAATCGAATCCTAATAAACCAAAACTGTTAACCATAATAAATATGAAAATGTCAAGCTAATTAAATAGATGATCACATTTCAATAGAATCGATAGGTATCCTAGACTAGAATAATAAGACAGTGACTACTCAGATGAAGGTGAATTGTCTATTTCTTAAATAACACTAATATGAACTGAATATGTACTTTTGTTCTTTCATGTTTGTTTTTTCCAGTTCATATAGTCAAATGTATGTGTATTGTAATTATTATCTTCCTAATACCTGATATGAGGTCATCTTCAGTAAAATGTACTTTATATCGATGATAAAAGTCAAATAATTGTATGCATGTTTATTGATAAGAGTAATGTGTGATTCCGTTTACACGTTTATCTTTAATATGGGGTTACTTTGTTCATTCGCTTTAGGCATGATTGTTTTGATATTTATTGAATAATGTAATAAGAAGACAAAGATTATGAGAATTATGTGATGATAGATTTGCGTAATACATTTCGAACAATTTGATCACACATAAGACACTTGTTAAGAATATTTATATACAGAAAATAAAAGGTCAACTAGACTGGAAACGGGGTAAGAGGAGATAAGGATAATAATAATAATGTGAACACAATTCGAAACCTAATCACTCTGGATAATAAGTCAATATTACCAGGGTAGGTTTAAGGTAAGAACAAACTGTTTTTGAACACATAAAGGGAGTTTGAATTTTTGTATGGTTAAGGCTTCAATAAACCTTAATATACACCCTTTTACACTTTTATACAAAAGCCGAGTTTAGATCAATCTTATGGCCTGTTCCAATTATGTGTTTAGCAATAGAGGATGATGGATGTTTATCATCTACTCTTTATTGGGTCATTTGATTCTATTTGTTTGTGCAACCATTTTGGTACATATTCACACACCCTAATATTGACTTATTATCCAGAGTGATTAGGTTTCGAATTGTGTTCACATTATTATTACTCTTATTATTATCCCTATCTCCTCTTACCCTGTTTCCAGTCTAGTTGAACTTTTATTTTTATATATTGTGCTAATATATTACATAATTCTTCGTCTTCTTATTACATTATCGAAATTTATCAAAGGGACTAATTGCATTAAATTTATTGAATAGTTGAATTCATGAGTCAATTGAAGTTAGACACCATCATGGGAAACCTAGAAGTACTCTAGGGCCGTTTCGTCCTGTTGTGAGACTCCTCAACAGTGCGCATCCACGATCCCACCTCACGAGATCCGAACCCAGGAACTATCAGTCTTAACCACTAGACCACTGAGCCGGAATTTGATTACAGTTTAGTCAGAGAGAAATCATTTGTTATTTAAATCATAACTTTACTTTGGCTAGGTAATCATTGAAAATTGCAGCCATTACGAATAGGTAAACTCACAATACGGAAAACTACTTCAAAATCAGTCTTATGAAAATTGAAAGATAAAGAAAACAAACAAAATATCATTTATAAAATAGAGTTGAGGAACATTGGATGATTGTTTCATTAGTAATGTATATTCATAACCATCTCAGTAATCGAGTCAGATACTTTCAGGTTTCGTGACAAACCCGTTACTTTCATAGATCGGAATTAGGTCCTGTATGGTCTATTGGTTCAGCACTCGCTAAGGTGTTGGTCCGAGTGTGTGCAGGAGTACGAGAGTCCTCTGTCCGTCTTAAAATGCTCTCACACAACCACGCGTATACAGAAACTGCCAGAGGAATCCTGATCACTACCTTCTCGTGAGAGGACGAAAAGTGAATGGCCGCCGCTTAAACTGGGTTGGTGAATACGGAGCATCTACCTAGGGGAGTTGGAGAAACCTGATTCTAAACCAATGGTGCACATGGGCTCCATTATGCTGAAGGAACAAATGGCGTATGAACCTATTGTTGAAGACCGCCCACCATGGTACTGCATCTCCTAA